GACGGGCGCGGACGAGCGAATGAGAGGTCGCTATCTGACGGAGATGTGTTGTTAGTTAGAGACTAGGACTGCCTATCTTTCACTGAAAGAGACCTCTCATTCGCTCGTCCGCACCCGTCACCGCTCACGGAGTGCTCCGCGTGCCGCACGGGCCGCCGCCGGCCACCGGCCGCTCACTGTGGTAACGGAAGGGAACAGTGTTACTACTCCGCAACGTTGAGCTGGATCAAACTGAATACTCCCCGCGATCCGCCGACGAAAGCTGCGTCAGACAACCACCACAGCCACGTGCATTTGCTTGCAACCGGATGTTGCAGACGAGTCTGCCAACGGTACGCTCAGAGCTGGGGCCCACGACCACCCTCCCCGCGCTGTTCGAGTGGCGATTCTCGCCCTCCACGCATTTGAGCGCCTCGCGGCACCCAGCGTCAATCTATCTGAGCCCGGGTCACGGTCCGAGCAGTTTGCTCAGTCAGCACATCAAAAACGGATCGCAGAGATTCAACCACACGATCGTCGCCGTGGGCGGCTCTGATCGCCGCCTTTCTCAGGCGGCCCACTTCGGACTGCATGTCGACGTTCTGCTGAGGACGTTTCGCATCGTGTATTGGGAAACCATTGACCACGTCGTCCCCGGCCTCCGACCACTACCCACACTGTTCACCGACCGATACCTCCGCGACGCTGGCCCGTCGGTGGCGGAGGCGATGCGTGGCGCGAGCCTCGACGACACGTCAAAGCCGCTCTGGCTCTTTGCGTCCTGGGGCCGCTACCAGCCGCAGCTGGATCGCAGCCCGAACTGCCGAGATCGGCAGGCAGCCGTGAGGTGGCTGCAAGGCATGGCGAACGCCTCGTGGATCTCAAAGGGCAAACGGAGTCCGAAAGAGTACTGGCCCATCCTCGCGCGCCACCGATTCGCGCTCTCCCCCTCGGGGCTCGGCATCCAGAGTCCAAAGACCTACGAGGCGCTCGCAGTGCTGACGATCCCCATCTGCCACCGGACCAACCTGGCGTACGCGCAGCTGGCCGCCGAGGGGTGGCCGATTGTCCTGGTCGACAGTTGGGAGCACGTCACGATTGCAAACATGCAGCGCTGGTGGGCATCTCTCGCCCACAAGCTGAGGGGAGCGCGTTCGTGCTTTGCCGACAAGGGCCGCATGTACCGGATGCTCGTCTCTGGGGAGACGATGGGCTCCTGCATCCAAACGGCAGAGCACCTGCATCTGAGGCCGTCTCATGATACAAGAGAAGGCGCCCGCCTCGCTGCTTCTCCGGGGCGTAGGCGGCGATAGCAACAACAGAGAGCACACACATTCCCCTCTGGGGGACATACACACCGACCGGATACTTACAACTTAGTTCGCATACTCCCTGGCCATCGGCTGCATGTGTCCATGTGCACCATTGCTGAGCCTGAGGCATCACCAGGTCACACACCCACAGCTGGTCTCTGGTCAGCTCTCCGCAAGACGGACCACACACACACACACCTCCCGCGTCGTCCACCGGGCACGTAAAAATAAAAACGGTCAAACTCTGAGACGAGATGGGATTTAGGGACATGTGTCCCCGCCCTGCACGATCTTGGTGTGAGGGATCTTCAATCCGTCCCCTCACCCCTGGACCCTGGTCACTACCCGACACTAGAAGAGCAGCAAGAGTTGGGGCTGCGGCTACGGCGGCGGCTGCGGGAGGGGCTAGAGTATGCGGTCGCGGGAGAGCCGCTGCGCCGCGTGGGCGCGCCTACACCGCGCTTGCTCCGCTCGCCACCTCTCGCAAAGGTTCAAAGTCATAGCCATCACCTCCTCCGGCAAGTCCTTTTCGCCTATCTCGCCGTCCCTCCATGCCTGGTATAGAGCTCGTCGTCATAGCCATATAATGATTTAATGCCATATTGAATTCGATATTGTTAAAGCCGTATATTGCGGGGAATGCACGCGACACGCGAGACGGAGTTTATTTATATTCGTGGAGCTCCGCGTTGTGTCGTATATTCAAAAGCTTTGAGGGAGAGACAAGGCGGTCAACGTAGTACGCCAGGCACGTCGGAGGGTACTCGAAACGGAGACGCGCTACATGAAATCGAAATCGTCGTTCGCCCGCCAGCCCCCGCCTCCGCCATCGCCCTCGAGCCCTCCAAAGTCGTTGTCCACGTCCTTGCCCATGGCGATCTTGATCTTGCCCTTGGTCTTCTTGCCCTTCTTGTCCTTGTCGCGGTCCGCCTTGACCCTTGTCGTATGTACAGCACCGACGCAAAGGTCGAAAAAAGGGGGTTTCCCGGAAAGAAGGAGCTCCTTTGCCTCGTCGGTCGACATGCCCGCTGCCGCCTTGCGCAGCAGGCACTTGAGCACGCTCATGTGGCCGGTCTTGCCCTCGTACGGGCGCAACCGCTCCGCCAGCGACTCGGCCAGCTTTTCGTAGTCCTTATCGCTCTTCGCCACAAAGTCCGCGCCCAGGTCGCCAACCTTTGGCGCCGGCCGCACCGCCTCGGACGGCTTGGCGGCGGCGGGCTTGGCGGCGGCGGGTTTGTTCGGCGGTTTGGCCGCGGGCGCGGGCGCGGGCGCGGGCGTGCCGACACTCGTCTCCGCCATGTCGAGGCCGAACGCCGCCGCCGCGTTGTCAAAGTCGGACGCCTCCTGCTGCAGCTTCCTCAGCGCGCGCTCGCGCGCTTCGCCGGTGAGGCTCGGGTCGATCTCGGTCGAGACGCCCGCCCTCTCCCGCAGCGCCGCCATCCGCGCCGCCTCCTCTGCCTCGCGCGCCTCGCGCGCCTCGATCTTCTTCTCCAGCTCGGTCTTCTCACGCGGCGCCGCCCGCGGGGCGGCCACCGGCACGCTCGCCGGCTCCGCCTTGTCCGGGTCGTGCGCCTCCTCGTCGGACCACTCTGCCTTGTCCTCCTCGCCCTTCTGCGGCAGGGACAGGTCCGCCGCCTCCCAGTCGTCCTCGCTGTCGTCCCAGGCCATGCCCTCGTGGGAATGGTCACGCCGCCGCGCAGTATCCTGAGCCAGGCAGCTGTGAATAGGGCGTATTTTCTTCTCAATAACAAGCCTGGTGTACGCGCCAGAAAAACGGTCTAGGCACGCGCTCCGCCTCCGGGCGCTGCCGCCACCGGGAGCGGCGGCGGTGAGCGGAGGGCGGACGATCGGGTGGCGAGGCCCGTGTCGAGAGGCAAAACAGCATGGGCGCGCGCGCCGCGGCGGCTGGCGGCTGGCGGCTGGCGGCTGGCGGCTGGCGGCTGGCGGCTGGCGGCTGGCGGCTGGCGGCTGGCGGCTGGCGGCTGGCGGCTGGCGGCTGGCGGCTGGCGGCTGGCGGCTGGCGGCTGGCGGCTGCGGCTGGCGGCTAGCTGGAGAAAGAACTCGGACGCGATGGATAATCGGAGATAGAGCCGCGCAGCGGCTACTGTATGTAGGTTATCCTTCAACGTGAGGAGAGGTGGACAGCAAGCAACACCCAAAATACGCGATCCAAATTACTGACTGGCGCCGCGCCGAAAGAGCGCCCGACGTCGGCTCGCAGCTTTGGGACGCTTGCTCCAACCCCATCGTCCGAGTCTTGTGCGCAATCTCGCGTGACCCACCCTCCTCTTCCCTTGCACGCGAGTGTTCTCTGATTGTATGTGTGGACAGGGAGTGTCCTGTCCTCACGGCGTCGGCGCATGTGTGTGTGTGGTTCCCAGTGTGGGGCCTGTTTGAGCGCCGACGCCGGGGTCGTGTGGCGATGTGCCTCGGGAGCTCCAGACGCAGCTCTCGGGGCACGCCAACCCAGGAGATTTAAAGGACCAATCAACAAATACAACCAACGATCAGCTGGAGAACTCGGACGCGATGGATAAGATACACGTGATCGATTGTTGATAAGGTAGGTAGGTAGGTAGGAAGCTAGGTGAAGAACAGTGTCAGGCTCGGACTGGACACACCAACGCGGTATGGGTGGACGCGAGACAGATGATGACGACACGCGTGAGCGACACAGACACACACAAGCTCACAAGACACTCAGCCAGCTGGGCTGCCACACATCAGTCATCATATACGCGGCACTACGCCACTCGCGGCCACGTCCCCCCCATCGCCCCCCCAGCACTCAAAGGTGCCAAGGGCACAAATAACAGCACAACAACACACAGACAAGCGACAGGGCACGCGGCGTGTGAGACTAGAGCAGGCTGCTCCGCCTCTAGCAAACTCGCCGGCCGGCGGGGCACGGACGAGAGCACATGTGGGGTCAAGTGAGGTGTCTATGGGAAGCTCCCTCTCGGGCTAGCAGCCTGCCGCTAGCCCTTGCCCTCGCATTCATATTCGACGACAAAGCAGATGATGAATTAGGCACCAGACTTGGCTGGCTGGTGCGCGAGTCGAGGTGCGCGATACTCGTGTCGACCTAGGCCGCACGCCGATCCCTCCGTGGGCATTGTAACGTAGGTTGGCGTGCGGCCACAGCGCGCCCGCCGCAGACTCGGCGGCGCGCGCACGCGAGTGAAAGGTTTGCTCGTGGAGCCACACGAGTCCTTTCGACGACGAGGCCTCTGCGACGTATGCCAGCCCGTGCTGCGGAGCCTCGCCATTCGGAGCCGCATCCCGCCGGCACCGTCCTTGAGTGCGCCCCGCCGTGGCGAGACGCACTCGACGAGGACGGCTTCGCCGGCGGTACCGAGTCGCGAGCCGGCGACAGTCGCGGCGACGTGTGTGTGTGTGTGTGTGTACGAGGCGCCGCTTCGACGAAGCGAGGTTGGTAGGCGCCCCTCGCGAGACTCGCAAGACATGCCACACGCCCCTCGCGCCTATGACTCGACCAGTGTGAAGGTGAAGAGATCCTACCGAGCGGGCGGGAGGGGTGGCAGGAGCAGCATCATCATCACCGGCAGCAGCATCAGTCTGTGTCTTCCTTTGCCAACAACATACCTACGAGAAGAAAAACAGAGAAGCATCTGGCGAACAAGCTGATGGTCCGGCACAACCTCATCACTGGTCGAGAACCAGGTTGAATGGGCCTATTCGCCAAGGCGAAGTCGGCCGCCGCCCCGCCTGCGGCCGGCACAGTGCTCGCCGCCCCACGCGGGGCGGCCGGAGGGCCGCCCGCGGCGCCCGCGGCGGCGCCCGTCAAGCCGCGCCCCTCCACGCCCACCACAACCAGCGGCTCTACGGCCGGGACGTCGATCGGCTCGACAAGCAGCGCCGGGAGCCTCGTCGAGGGCTCTGATGCGGGGAAGCCGAGTGCGCTGAGCGCGTCGTCGCTCAAGCTGCGCGCGCAAGCGGTGCGGCTCGGGCTGCCGCCGCAGCTGCTCGTCGCGCCCTGCTCCGAGAGGGTCGAGATTGACCTGCTCGAGGACACGGTTCCGCTCGGCAGCGGCGAGTTCTGCACCGCCCACTCGGCGAGACTGCGGGGGGAGCGAGTCGCGCTCAAGATGCTGCGGCCTGCGCGCGAGTCGTCCGAGCTCGCGATCTCGGACCTCCGCAGGGAGATCGCCGTCCTGTCCCAGATGTGCCAAAACGGCGGCGGACACCCGAACATTGCGCGCGCGGCTTGCGCGGTCTGCCCCTCCTCTGCACCGCCTCTGAAGTTGACGCACTTGGCAGGTGCGGCTGGTGGCGCACGGGTACACGCCGACCGGCTCGCCCTTCTGCGCGCTCGAGCTCTTCCAGGAGCCGCTCAGCGCCGCGCTACCGACCAGCAAGGCGCAGCGCAAGCTCTGGCCGGCCAAGCGCGGCGTGAGCATCGGGCTCCAGCTCGCGAGGGCGCTTCACTACTGCCACGACAGGCGCGAGACTAGCCGAGACTAGCCGAGACTAGCCGAGACTAGCCGAGACTAGCCGAGGCTCGCCGAGACTCGCCGAGAGTGCACGCTTGCCAGGGGCCCCCCGGGCAGCTCCGCTGGACGCGCGGCTTGCGCCGAGCGCCCCGC